CCACTGCCGTTGCCACGCCTCGAAGGACCTGCGGCCTGGAGGGCAGAACTCCCAAGTTACCGCCCTGGGCATTCATGGGCAGCGGCTCAGCCGAGTTAGCCACTTGCAACCTAAATTGCCCCGTAGCTTTCGCCCCCCGCCCGAGCCGGGCCATCTCGACCGGTCACTCACCGCGTTGAGCCGCCTTCTTGGCCCCCGCCAAGACGCGCCCCCAAAACCCAAGTTTGAATCAAGCATGCCCAGAAACGCAGGAAGACGAGTTACTGGTCATGTTAGGTACGATGTTTCGCGTACCATGGGCAGATAATCCCATGGTGGTCGCCGCCAAAGTTATTGATGAGGCATCCCGCTCCAACCAGGACCAAATTAGCGCGGTTACGGTGACCATGCGACTCGCCACAGCGGAGTTAGCTGAGTTCTTCATGAAGCTTGCTGACAGGTTGGCATGCGTTACGAGCAATACAAGGTACCCGAAATGTTAAGCAGGGACTAGTGGAGGGCACCAGGGCCAGGCCTGGGGGGGCGGCTGGCACCGGGCGAAGTGCAAGGTGAATGCATCCACGGAGCATCGCGCTATTGACAGCCGTGACATCGCGTTCCCAATCGGAGATATCCTTCACTGGTCTCAAAGTACTAAGGAGGCTGTGCGCTGGCAGGCTTGGATGCCAGCTGTCGGCTCCAAAATGTGGGTTGAATGAGGCAGGTGGCTCGCAGATCCAACGCGGGAGCTGAGTCAAATCGTATGCACCAAGTTGACTCGACGTTTCCGTGTTACTTTCGCAACTCAGATCGCCGTCTCTTTGAGTGATGGGTCGGTTCGACAACATTTTGGTTCGCAGTGTTAGAAGCATCATGATGGATGATTACAGATGCTGGTTGGATTCGAACGAGCACTACCAGATGAATGCCATGTGTGATGCTGGCGATGAAATGAATAGGTGCCCCGTCTTCAACTCCAGTCTGACTCCACAGCACGCGAGGTGCCAGGGAGGCCGGTCGCACACCCTAGCCAGGTCGGTAAGCCGCCATCACTGCCGATAGGTGACCTCTTACCTCATATTCTTTTCTCCCCTGCTACCAAGTTCCATCAGTTTCGCACCTTGCGGCGCCCCCTGCGTGGGAAGCCCTCCCCCCCCTGCGCGCCTGCCCCATACTCTTTCTTCGGCCGCCCTTTGTCTGTGCAGTTTCGCTCGGCGTTCTACATTGCAGCGCTTTTTCAGCTGAGTTGGACACTCGGCGAACCTCTTACTTAGCTTGGCTAGACCTCGCCCAGCTCGCCTTCTATTCGTTTTTCATCCGTCGCAATCATCGGCCACTCTGGCCGAGGGGGGCGTTCGAACATGGCCATGCGACTCCATGCGTTTCTTAGTGAGTTGTGAGCTTGACCGCTGGCGCTTTGCACAAGTACTTATGAGTTGAGCTCGCGTCTCGCCCTACTGCAGAAGATACGTTACGCATCGTTCCTGTGCAAATCCTCTTCGGATATTTCCAGGAGGAGGGGGAGGATGAGGAGGAAAAGGGGGAGGAGGAGGAGGAGGAGGAGGACGAGGAGGAAGAGGAAGAGGAGGAGGAGGAGAACGAGGAGGAAGAGTGGGAGGAGGAGGAGGAAGAAGACGACGCGCCCGCCCATCCCCCGCCCCGCCCTCCCCCCGCGCGCCGCGGCCGGCCTATGGGGCGGTGCCCGCCGCGCCGCTGGCGGGGCTTGGTTATCCTGGCGGCCGCCGCCGCGGCCCTGCGGGGCCTCGGCGGCGGCGGGCTGCCCGCGGGCGGCGCGTGCTTCGCCGGGGGCCGCGCAGGCGGGGACGGGAGAATCAGGCAGTGGCGAAGCGAAGTGGCTCGCTTATAGGCCCACCAAAGACTGTTCTAAGAACCTCTCGCGGTCTGCACGATTTTTTTTTAGAACATGTATGGCTGGGACTGTCTTGCTTTAACGCATCGGGCTTCTGTTATAAGAGCGTCGTCTTTGTTCTTAGGGCATTTTGGGATTCTACGAGCATTTCGTGGTAGGACTACAAGACTGCCGGGATGGTCGGTCCCTGCTCAAGAGGAGGGAAGGGGAGCGGGGTTTCCGAGTGTAGCTCGGAAGTTCTGCCGATCTTGGCGCCCTCGAGGTTGCAGTTTGATGTCTTCGACGGTCACCACTCCCACGGTGTAGCCTGAGGGGGAAGAGGGGGAAGGGGAGACGGGGGATGGAGAAAGGATGGGCGAGGAGGGGAGGGAGGAGGACAAGGAAAAAGGGGGAAGGGGCGATGATGATGATGATGATGATGATGATGATGATGATGATGATGATGATGATGATGATGATGATGATGATGATGATGATGATGATGATGATGATGCTCATTGTGATCTTGATGATGATGATGATGATGATGATGATGATGATGATGATGATGATGATGATGATGATGAAAAGGATGAGCAGGATGAGCAGGAGGAGGAGATCGTGAGGTCTCAACAGCGCATTGGACGCGAAAAGGTGAGAATGCAGCAATATTTGATTTTTCCTCAGGTGTTTGAAGGATTAGGGCTTCTTGGGGGAGTCCTGAGGGGGCTCCGAGAGCACTTGGAAACATCTTGTGGCCCTCGTCGGGCAGCTTGAAGGTGTGTCGGAAGCTATCTTGAACAATCGTCGGATATTTAGAGCCGCCTTGGAGGCAACCTTGGAGCATCGGAGGCCCTTCTGGAGCCGTCTTGGGCGAAACAAAACCCCCTTGCCACCTCGCGAACCTCCCCAGAAAACTTCAGGGAGGGGAGGGGGAGGGCACCCCTTCCCGACGGGAAGAAGGTCTTGGAAGAGGAAAAATAGGTATCGCTAGACCACCTTATAGACAAAAGGGCCGGTGCCTGCAAAGATCAGCATGGAGCTCTGAGGTCGTTGTTCTTCGCTGTGGTCGTTGGAATGTACTCCCTCCTCTGTCCTCCCCTCTGGTCGTCTCGCCCAGGCTCGTGGTCTTCCCCTCATCTGTCCTCCCCTCCTCTGGTCTTTACTCCCTCCTCCGTCCTCCCCTCCTCTGCCCTCCCCTCTGGTCGTCCCCTCGGAGGATCACTTGTGCCGTAGCAGCGGGTCAGCCCCTGGCTCTCTTCGGAGCCGAGGGAAGAGACGGTGGATGGGGCCGGACGCGAGGGCCCCGATCCCGTCAGGACGGGGCAGCCCGCAGCGTCCGCGTCAAGAGGCGCAGGAGAAAGCAGGAGAAGCAGGAGGAGGAGTTGGAGGGACCAAAAGCTCCTCCTTCGCTCCGGTCCCCATCCCTGCAAATAGCCTGCCCTCCTTTGCTCTCTCCGCCCGTCCCACCTGCATCTCGGGCCGCGAAATCTATACATATCCGCTGCTCCCTGGCCAGGCCCATCCTGAACCCAGGAGCTGTGTATACGCCCTCCTGGCCAAGCCAGGCGAGCGTGGCGTATACGCCGCTGCTGGGTTCAGGATAGGCCTGGCCATGGAGCAGTGGATATGTATAGATTCCGTCGCCCTATGCATCCCCCCTCCTCACTGCAGAGTTACAGCAGTCCTCTCCACCACGGCCTCCCTCGACACCCCCGGGGCAGCCGACCAAGCTCCTGCTCATCGGGTGTAGGGCCTCCTGTGCCCCCTATCTCTTTCCTGACCCGAGCCGTCTTCCCCCCCGCCCTCCCCGCCTCCCTCCCCTCCAGTGCAGGGCTCATTTCGACTCCTCCGATTCGATTCGATTCGATTTCGATGGCTTCCGATTCCGATTCGATTCGACATGGGATTCCGATTCGGATTCCGACTTCTTATGGGACGCATAGTGGCCTGCCGATTTCCGCCGATCCGACTTTTCCCGACTTGGTTGCCGATTTCCGCCGATCCGTTTCATTTCGATTGCCGATCCGACTTATCGATTCGATTCTGGGCTCTCCTGCCAGTGGGGACAGCAAGGAACCTCAAAAGCTCCTCCCTCGCTCCTCCCTCGCTCCGGTCCCCATCCATGCAAAAGCTCCTCGCTCGCTCTCCGCTGGAGGAGGACCAAAAGCTCCTCCCTCGCTCCGGTCCCCATCCATGCAAATAGTCACCACCCACCAAACCACCCCAACCCAACCCGAAGACTCAGATTTACCCTCGATTTCCAGTGGGGGGGGTGTCGGGAAACATCGGAAAAACACACGTGGAACCCTTACCCCCCCCCAACCCGAAATTCGGGTCTTCGGGTTGGGTTGGGGTGGTCTGATAGGTAGTCAAATAGCCTGCCCTCCTTTGCTCTCTCCGCCCATCCCCACCTGCATCCCCCCCTCGCCACTGCAGAGTTACAGCAGTCCTCTCCACCACGGCCTCCCTCGACACCCCCGGGGCCCTGCCCTCCTTTGCTCTCTCCGCCCATCCCCACCTGCATCCCCCCCTCCCCACTGCAGAGTTACAGCAGTCCTCTCCGCCACACGGCCTCCCTCGACACCCCCGGGGCGGCCGACCTCGCTCCTGCTCCTCGGGTATAGGGCCTCCTGTGCCCCCATCCTCTTTCCCGGCCCGAGCCGTCTTCCCCCCCGCCCTCCCCGCCTCCCTCCCCGGGAGATATGTGGTGCTTTGCGAGTTCCCTGACCTTCCCTTTCCCCCCCTCTCCCCCCCCCCAAAAAAATATCCCGCCTCCCTCCCCTCCAGTGGGGACAGCAAGGAGCCTCAACCACATCGAGGACACGCCATGCGGCATGTTCTGCGAATGCCAGCAATCGTCAGGGGTGTAGGGCCTCCTGTGCCCCCATCTCTTTCCTGACCCGAGCCGTCTTCCCCCCCCGCCCTCCCCGCCTCCCTCCCCTCCAGTGGGGACAGCAAGGAACCTCGACCACATCGAGGACACGCCATGGGGCATGTTCTGCGAATGCCAGCAATCGTCAGAACACCGTCGCCAGCTTGGTGCTGGTTGTGGTCGATGTGCCGCCGACGGCCACATCGACCACAACCGCAACCAGAGCGTTCATGTCGAGGCCAGCAGCTTCTTCCCCAGGGGTCCCTCCTGAAACATGCACTCAGTTGTGGTGGTGGTTCTTTGCAGTGCCCTGACCTCCACCCCCGCGCGCTGTGGGCCGCGATGGCTGGGCTGGGCTGCGGGCCAGCCTCCCGCGGCGAGCCAGACGTGGCGGGGGAGGCCCCGGCGCAGCTCGCGTTGCCGCCGCGGCTGCGGGTCTGCGAGCTCTTCGCGGGCATCGGCGGGTGGCGCGTGGCGCTGCAGCAGGTGCTGCCAGGCTGTACCGACGTGGAGGTGTCGGCGTTCGATTCCGGCCCGCATTGCAGCGAGGTCTCATCGAGAATACAAGAAGCCCTGACCTGGATACCACAACGAAGACGCAGCCTAGCTTACTACCCTCGTCAAAATTAACCTCAACAGTTGCTGGCACGTCATTTCGATTTCGGCGCGCCCCTAGATGTCGACACGCCGCCCCTTCGATGTCGGGGCGGGGGCAAAGATAGTCTGACCGAACTTGACTCGAAAGTTTGACGTCGACCGACATTGGAGGGGCGGCGCATGCAAGCACCCCGCACTCATCGATACTCGGCCCCAGATCTTCCGACAAGCAGTTCAACCACGTCAGACATTTTTGAGGTTAATTGTGACGAGGGTTGTAGGTCCTCGTCTTGGCATTAGCGATAATCAGTCTAGGTAGCCTGGTTCGGCACATTTGCGGAAAAGACCCCCCCTGCCCCTAATGCCTTGGGCCTCTTAACGTGGTCCGCTCCCAAAGGGTCGAGGGCCCTTTCATTGCTAAGCGAGGTCTACGAGAGGAACTTCGGCGAGCGCTGCTGCAGGCGGAACATCGAGCAGCTGGGGCCGGCGGACCTCGAGGGCTTCGACCTGTGGGTCATGTCGCCCCCCTGCCAGCCCTTCACCGCGACCAAGGACGCCAGGCAGCGCGACCTGGGGGACAGGCGCTGCAGGGCCCTGGAGCACCTCTGCGCCCTGCTGCCGCGCCTCTCCCGGCCCCCGCGCTGGCTCGCCCTGGAGAACGTGAAGGGCTTCATGCGCAGCGCGGCGCGCGCTCGCTGGCGCGGCGCCCTCGCGGCCGCGGGCTACTCCGACTGGGAGGTGCTCCTGGACCTGGCGAGCTTCGGCGTGCCCAACCACCGGACGAGGTACTACCTGCTCGCGGAGAGGTCGGGGCGCTTCGCGGCCGCGGGCCCCGACGCCTCCCAGGCGCCGCGCCCGCCTCCCGCAGGGCCTCTGCCGCCAGGGCTCGTCGCGCGCGGGGCCTGGGCCCGGGAGCGCCGCGCCGAGATCGAGGAGGCCCACGCGGCCGCGCGCCAGACAGCCGACGCCGCCGCCAAGGATCTTGGCTGCCCCGATGCGCAACACGTATCGCGTCGACACAGATCTTGAGTCGTAGGCTGAAAGCGTAGGTCTGGCGCGACACCCTCGCCAGAGCGTGGACCTACAACTGCCGAGCCAAGAACCAGCGTGTTCTTCACACGGCCGTTTGGAGCACGGCGCGCGTTGTGTGTCAGAACGGGCGCATCAGTGGGGAAACCAAGAGGTACCGATACCGCTACTCCCCGGGCCTCTCCCGGGGTGCTTTCTGACAAGAACTTCGAGGCGAATCCAGCGGTGGTGACGAGGGCTCCGCGGGAGGCCCAAGAGGCGAGAACGAGGCAAGGCTAGCCGTATCGGTACCTTTCTCTCCTCTGAAGTCAGGGCAGCTAAGCTTATGATGTTCCAACCTACTTTAGCCTTGATCACCAGAAAGAATTTCGAGCGCCAGAAGAAAATACCGAAACTCAAGGGTTTTCACGTGTCGGGCCCTGGGAGACACTTGCCCGACACTGTTCCGACACTCTTTTGACACTCATCTGGGTGCTTGAAATTATCTCTGGGATGTGGTCCTTCAGTAGGATTGGGCACAACATGAAGCTAAGCCAAGGATGTCTCCTTCGCGCGCCTGCGCCGCCGCTTCTGCGCGGAGCTGGCGGGGCTCGTGCCCGCAGCGGCGCGGGCCCTCGTGGACGAGGAGGGCGGCCTGCTGGCCGGCGCGGCCGGCTGGAAGCTGCTGCCCCTGCCGCGCCAGGAGCCGGACGCGTTCATGATCACCTTCGACGCGGACCTCAAGCAGTTCTGCACGAACGAAATGGGTACGGAAAGAATGGGCACAATGCCCAACAGCAGTTCCTGCTCATTTTGTACAGGACTCGCTGTCCACGCCGCCGCGGCCTGTGTCCATTCGAGACAGGAGGCCGCCTGCCCAACAGCGGCCGCTGTTGGTTTAGGGCAACATTTGTTGTTTGGCATTGTACTCATTTTTATCGTACCCCTTTCGGGCGTCCAAAGCAGTAGTAATAATCATTATCAGCAGCAGCAGCAGCAGCATCAGCAACATCAGCACCGTCATCTTCATCATCAACAGCATCATCGTCATCATCGTCAGCATCATCATCATCGTCGCAGTCATCATCATGATCAAAATTATCAGCATCACCATCCTCATCGTCATTACCACCATGTGCATCATCCTCATACTCATCATCATTATCACCATCGGCATCAACATCGGCATCATCCTTAACATACTCACAATCAGCATCCTCATCATCATCACCATCGTTATCATCATCACAAGCATCATAATCCTCATCAATATCATCACCATCATCATCATCATCACCACCCCCACCATCATTTGCATCGCCACCACCATCGTAATCATCATCACCATCGCCATCATCCTCATCACAATCAGCATAATTCGCATATCAGCCAGCGTTGACTCCAAATCGATTAGACTACTCAAATCAAGGAACCAGAGGAATCGAGCATGCTTGTAATCCGTAAGCAAGCAAGCCAGCAAGCAAGTCAGCAAGCAAGCGTGCAAGCAAGCAAGGAGGCAGGCATAGGCATAGGCGTCGGCATAGGAGTTCGGGGGGGAGGCACAGGCATAGGCATAGGCATAGCCATAGCATATTTTTTTGGGGGGCATAGGAATTTGGGGAGGCAATGGACCAATAGTAGGGTTTGAGCTAGGACTCATATAGGGCAAGCCTATTTGGAGAATCATCATTATCATCGTCGTCGTCATTCTCATCATCATGATCACCATGACCATCATCATTAATATCAGCCAGCGTTGACCCCAAATAAACTAGACGACTCAAATCAAGGAATCAGAGGAATCAAGCATGCTTGTAATCCGCAACTCAGCAAGCAAACAAGCGTGCAAGCAAGCAAGCAGGCAAGCAAGCAAGCAAGCAAGCAAGCAAGCGTGCAAGTCCGTACGCAAGCAAGCCAGCAAGCAAGCAAGCAAGCAAGCAGGCATACGCATAGGCTTAGGCGTAGGCTTATGAGTTAGGGGGGAGGCATAGGCATAGGCACAGGCATAGCCATTGGAATTAGAGGGGGAGGACATAGGAATCAGGGGGGGAACGGACCAATTAGTAGGGTTTGAGCTAGGGCTCCTATAGGGCAAGCCTGTATGGAAAACATCATCATCACAATTACCATCATCATCATCATCATCATCATCATCATCATCATCATCATCATCGTCATCGTCATCGTCATCGTCATCATCATCATCATCATCATCATCATCATCATCATCATCATCATCATCATCATCATCATCATCATCATCATCATGGGGAAGCGTCCTCGCCTGCCTATAGGCCCACCGCAGAAGGTTCTGACAGCCACTGGTGGTTCGCACCAAATGTTCTCAACTGCTCTAAGACGACATTTCAGGTTGAGGCCGTCTTGTTTTGATACATCGTGTTTGCGTAACATTCTTGTGCTCTGAGAATACGTCGTGGTAGGCATACAGGAATGCCAGGACGGTCGGTCCCTGCTCCAGGACCGCGCGGCCGCAGCGCGGCTGTTGCCCGCCCTCGCGCCCGAGGAGGGCGCCGGCGGAGTCGCGCCCGCGTGGGCGCTGTCCGAGGCGCCCGCGGGCGGCTGCCGGCAGATCGGCGACTTCCTCGAGGAGGGCGCGCCGAACGTGCAGGACCTGCTGGTGCCCGCCGCCGTGCTGGCGAAGCCCTGGGCGCTCGGGCTGAGCTACGTGGAGCCGCAGGTAGGGGGCCACATGCGAACCCTGCCCCTACCCTCCTTGGTTTCTAAGTGGGAGGGTGGGGTTCATCAGAGCGTGAATTACCTACCCCGCTTTCGCTTCCAGACAAAACCAAGTCATACCACGCGCCTCCTCGTCAAGCGGCCTGACCAGTACAGGCCGTAGTTTGGCATCGCTTGGTATCTCTTGGAAGCGAGGGTGGTCAAAAGCGAGGTAGGTTTGTTTTCCCCCTAGTTCACTTCGTCCGGGACTTCCCGAGCGAAGTGAACCCCACCCTCCCCCTCAGAACTCGTGGGGGGCAGGGGTGGGGTTCGCATGTGGCCCCCTAGCAGGACGCGCAGAGCTTCTGCTTCACGGGGCACTACGGGAAGGTCATGCACAAGTCCAGCGGCTCGCTGCTGCACCAGCCCTACGCCGGCGGCGCTCCCCTCGACAGGGGCGCCCCGCAGGCGGCTTGCGGTGCCGTGCGCTTCTTCAGCCCAAAGGAGATCACACACGCACACATCCCTCTTCTTTTTTCCCTCCGCGTCCCCCTCCTCCCCCTCCTCCTCCTCCTCCTCCTCCTCCTCCTCCTCCTCCTCCTCCTCCTCCTCCTCCTCCCTCTCTCTCTCTCTTTTTCTATCCCTGGCTGCATCTATATCTCATTCTCATATGTGTATAAATCCGCGGTGTATGGACCCCCCCCTGCCCCCCGCGAAACGGGATCCCAGGCGCCCACTGCTCCTCGACGCCCTCTCAGAGGGTCCCGCGAGATTTCCGGGTCCTGAGACGGTCCAAGATGGCCTGTGGCCCCGGACCCCCGCCAGACGCTCGAAGACGGCGCAAATATCACCCCCAAGAAGGCTTCGAAACGTAGAAACGGTTGATAATCCGTTGGTGTTTGTACTATTTGGGGCTACTCGGCCGAGAAACACCGAAAACCATTCCAAGACTACCAAAAAAGGGTTTCCTGACACTAAAAGAGAGCTCTAAAGACGGCCCAAAAGGGTTCAGAAACTGCCTACAGAGGACCCCATGACGGCCCAAAATTGCCCCAAGACGCCCTCCAGAAGTATTCAAACCGTGACCCGAGACCACGGTTCGCGGCATGGTGGCCCGAGGAACCCCCCAGAGGCCGCCAAAAGGCGCCAGGGACGTCTCCAGAGACGCCTAAGGAGCCCCTAAAAAGCTTTCGCGAGGTCCTCCAGAAGCTCGTCTCGAAGGAGCCTCCGCAAACACATCTGAGGAGGACGAGAAAGTATTCGCGGGGCAATTGAGGGAAGAACGAGGAAGAGGAAGTGGAAGAGGACACTTGAGGGAAGGATCGGGAACAACACTAGGATAATGGTGAGGACGAAAACTGCAACCGAGAGCGATCGTTATTTCGATTAATCTACCTCTCTCTCAGTATGCCTGCATGTTCGAGGTGAACGACCAAGGTACATGGCGCGAAGGGCCCATGAAGTTTTGCACCTACATGTATATATATATATACAAATATAGATGTATATCGCTCTCTCTCTCTCTCTCTCTGTCTCTCTCGCTCTCTCTCTCTCTCTTTCTCTCGTTCTCTCTTTCGTTCTCTCTTTATATATATATATATATACACACGTATTTATGTATATATGTATGCATGTATGTATGTATGCCTGTTTCAGTCGTTGTTTGTTCTCTTTCTCTCTTTCTCTGCCTCCTCTCCACCCGCTCGCGTCCCTTCTCCAGCCCGAAGGAGATCCTCAACATCCTCGGTTTTCCCGTGGCCTTCACGCTCCCGCCGGACACCTGTGAGCCGGCTCAAGCTCGCTCCTTGCCCCGAGGCAGGCAGGCTCAGACCGACGACAGTCGAGGAGGAGGGGGGGGGGTGGAGGGAGGAGGCGGATGCGGAGGAGGAGGGAGGAGGGGAGGCGAAGGGGGAGGATGAGGAGGAGGAGGCCGACGAGAAAGAGGAGGATGGCGAGAAAGAGGACGGAGGAGGGGCAAGGAGCGATGAGAAGAGGGAGGATGACGGGTACGAGGAAGAGGAGGAGGAGGAGGAGGAGGGAGGAGGCGGAGCACACGCTGCCTGCGGCATGTCCTGCCACCGTGCCAGCCCAGCATTCTGGGTGGCGACTGTTCGAGGGTATACGGGAGGCCGTCACGTGTGACACCTCGTGTCTCCAGGCTTGGGAGAGTCGTGATGATGTGGATTATGCGGATGATGGGGATTTTGAATATGATGATGATGATGATGATGATGATGATGATGATGATGATGATGATGATGATGAAGATGATGATGATGATGATGATGATGATGATGGTGGTGATGATGATGATGATGACGAGGAGGAAAAAAAGGATAGGGGTGAGGATGAGGATGGTGATGGTGATGGTAATGGTGATGGAGATGGTGATGAGGATGAGGATGAGGATGAGGATGAGGATGAGCTGAGGACGAGGATGAGGGTGATGATGATGATGCTGATGATGGCGATGATTATGATCATGCTGATGATGCGGATGATGGTCATGATGCTGATGCTGATGCTGCTGCTTATGAGGGTGATATGATGATGCTGATGATGATACTGATGCTGATGCTGATGCGGCTGCTGATGCTGATGATGACGATGACGATGGCAACGACGACGACGACGACGATGATGATGATGATGATGATGCTGATGATGCTGATGATGATGATGATTATGATGATGATGATGATGATGATGATGATGATGATGCTGATGATGCTGATGATGATGATGATGGTGATGATGATGGATGATGATGATGATGATGATGATGATGATGATGATGAGATGATGATGATGATGATGATGATGATGATGATGATGATGATGATGATGATGATGATGATGATGATGATGATGATGATGATGATGATGATGAGAAGAATACTAAGGAGGAGGAATATGCACTCTTTTAGAGGCTTGAGGCACTGCTGCCCAACAAAAGAAGATGAGGAGAAGGAGGACGAGCAGGCGCAGGAGCAGGAGAAGGACGAAGAAGAGAAAGAGCTGCTCGTTTGCGTCGCGCCTTAGGGGGGCCTGGGGGCGGCGGCAACCCGAGCCTTTGAGTGGGGCCCAGAGCGGGATCGTTGGGCGGGCCGCTCCCTCCGCCCACCCCGGCTCCTCCGCTCTGGGGGTGGGCAGGCGCGGCGCGCGGGGGAGCCCTGCTGCTGGCGGCCGAGAGGGTCTGCCTCGGGAGCCCCTAAAAAAAAAAGATCTGAAGAAAAAATAAGGATCTTTAAAAAAATAGCGAGCTCGATTCCGCGATTTGTTTTTACAATCCGTTTTTTTTTACAACCCGGGTCTGCCTCCCTCTCGCCGCGGGTGCCCGAGAACGCGGCGATCTGTGGGTCCTGAAGGCTCGTGGCGTCCCTCGAGCTGAGGTGGCCGAGCAGTGTCTCCTGGCTTCTAGGCCTCCTAGATGGGGTCGGAGTAGATGGGGTCGGAGGATCGCGCCGCATCGCCGATGCATCGGCGATGCATCGGCGATGCGGCTCGATGTGGGGC